CCCAGGCCCCTTCCAAGGGAGGCCTTCTCAGGTGTCTGGGGACGTGCATATGGTTCCAGATCAAGGCTTCCTCCCACTGTGTGCGGGACTGTTCAACTGAGTCCATAATGTTTTGAGGGATGTAGTGGTAATCCAGGTAACATTTTACCGCTACTCTCCTCTGTATCTCCCTTTGCCACTGAGAAAAACGGGGCAGGTTTCTCTTGTACCCCAACCAAGGCTGTTTGCCACAGGATTCCTGTACATCAGTGTCTCTGGCCCTGATCCTAGACCAGGGTGAGGTAAAAGATTTAGATATTTAGTCTACTGCGTATGGAAGCTCTGATGATCCTGTCTGTAAATCAAGCTCAACTGTAGTGTCTCCCCAGTCCTCTTCTGTTTCCTCCAAGGCCCATCCCTCCTGTTCTATCTCCAGGGGCCTGTACCTCTCTAGCAGCCTGGGCGATTCCCAATCTACCTCCTCTCCACTAACGCTCTCGACCAGCTCACCTGAGGACTGGTCATTTCCGCAGCTGGGCTCCTTCCGAGCAGAGTGGTCAGGGCAGGTTAGCGAGGCCGGCTGGCCTGATGCAGTGATTGATTCGTACAAAACAGTAATTGTAGACTCCAGCATCTTCTGTAAGCAGGGAATGGTGGTGTGCAACCTGTCACTGCTGTGTGGGTCCACAATGATGATAGGGGAGTTACGGGACTTGATCCTGCTTCATACAGCAGATTCTGGACATACTCCAGCTTTCCGGCTCTCCAGTCTCTCTGTGCAGAGTCTCATTTGCAAATCCACAATGTACCTACGAGGTGCCAGATCACTGGACAGAACACGGTTCAGAGGCAATCTGCAATGTCTGCATCTGGCCCAAGCACCAACCAATGCAGTCAGCCTCCTGCACTCAGGACAAACCAGTCACAGCGTCTTGGTGCCCTCAATCATTTCAAGTGCAAAGCTTGAGGTGGTCTCCTGTGTCCACCAGGGTAAGCCCAGGTCAATAAAATTTCAAATACACTGCCAAGATTATTATTATTATTATACAGGATTTATATAGAGCCAACACTTTACGCAGTGTTTTACAATATAAGGGGGGCAGTACAATTGCAATACAGTTCGATACAGAAGGAATTGGAAGGCCCTGCTCATGGAGCTTGCAATCTAGAGGGAGGGGAAGGTGGTACAAAAGGTAATAGCTGCAGGGGTTGATCTGATGGGGGTGACTCAAGTACAGTTCTTAGGTGAGGTGGGGTAGGCTTCCCTGAATAAATGAGTTTTCAAGGATCAGATAAAGGAGGACAGGGTAGGACCTAACCAGACATACTGGGGCAGGGAGTTCCAGAGGATTGGAGAGGCAAAGGAGAAGTCCTGGAGGTGAGTGTGGGAGGAGGTAACAAGGGAACTGGAGAGCAGGAGGTCTTGAGAGGAGCGGAGAGGACAGTTTTGGCGATATCTGCAGATGGGGTTGGTGATGTAGCTGGGAGCGATGTTGTGTATGGGCATGTATGTTGTGGGTAGTAATTTGAATTTTGTACATTGGGTTAGAGAAAGCCAGTGAAGAGATTGGCAGAGAGGGGCAGCAGTTGGGGATCAGTTAGTAAGGTGCATTAGTCTAGCAGCAGCATTCAAAATAGACTGAAGTGGGGACATCCTGTGTAGGGTAGGCCTGTGAGGAGGGAGTTGCAGTAGTCAAGGCGGGAAATAACCAAGGAGTCAATAAGCTGTTTTTTAGTGTTAGTCAAGAAGGGGTGAATTCTGGAAATGTTGTGGAGGTTGAGGTAGCAAGATTTAGCCAGTGATTGGATGCGGAGGCTGAAGAAGAGATCACAGTCTAGGATTACACCTAGTACCCTGGCATGTGTGGAGGGACAAATGGTTGTTCCGTTGACCTCAATGGTAAAATTATGGGGGGGGGGGGATCAGGGAGGAGGAAAAATGACAAGCTCAGTTTTAAAAAGATTCAGTTTGAGCAGGTGGTGTGACATCCATATAGATATGTCACTCAGTAAATTTGTGATACGTTAGGAGACTGAGGGGGTTAGTTGAGGAGTTGAGAGATAGATCTGGGTGTCGTCAGCATATTGGAAGCCATTGTAGGTTATAAACCTCTTCAGGGAAGAGGTATAGAAGAGAGAAGAGGAGGGACCCAAGGAAAGAGGAAGAAGCGCATAGGAGATGGTATTGTATGTGACACAAAAAGTGCACTGAGATAGATAGGAGGAGAACCAGGAAAGAGCAGAGTCACGGAGGCCAAGGGAGTGAAATTCATTGAAGAGGAGTGGGTGGTCGACTGTGTCAAAGGCAGCAGAAAGGTCTGAGTATGGCAATATGGGTGTAGAGGGCGGTTTTAAGGGCAGGCATTTGACGTGAAGTTGGGCGTGCTGATGGGCATGGTCTAGCCCCTCCTTGTGATCTCTTGGTGCAAACCGGACTGCTATGCTGGGACTTTCCCACCACTGGATCAACCCCCAATATTCCAACTTGGGGTGAAATACAGTGATGACTGTATCCTGCTGGTAGGGCATAGACAATTTGCTGACTTACTGGGCATTGATTTCTAGCCATTGTTTGATAGTTGGGAAGTGCTGGTAATATGAGGTTGGAAGCGATGCCATTCTGCGATGCCATTCTGCGATGGTTGCCAAGGGCAACAGCGGGGTACGGAGCACACAAGGCCACTATCAGAGTTACCAAGCACAGTTCTCAAAAGACAATAAAGTATTTGGAATTGATCAGTCATAGCAAAGAGACAGAGTACTGGTTAAACAGAATCACTTGTCGTCTCTACTTGTACAGCAGCACACAGACTGCTTTGCAGCAATGAGCCGTCCCAGTTGCTTCGGGAAACCTCAAGCACATAATAGATGAACACTTTACTGTCCCTTGCAGTCACTTAGCCTTTGTTGGTGGCCACCTGTAGAGCAGCCGAAGGATGTCTGTGTACTGATGAGCCCCCCGGTTGCTCCAGGTGACGGCGGACAGGAGAGCAAGTATATCAGACATTTCACATGAGTTCAGCAACACATACAAGGCACAGTCTTTGTTAGGAGCTACCTGGGGAGCAGCACAAAGACTTTTTGATAGGCCCGGCATGATTTACTGTGTTCCATGACACTTTTGCTTCAGATTTGTTAGTTGCTAGGGGTGACAACAGCGGGTTACTATAGATGAATCCTGGATTTACAAGCCCTCACATGTAGCACTACCCCCTTAGGGACTGCTGATGAATTTGGGTCCCCCTATAGTCCTGCACAGCCAGTCATTCAGCATTTTCCCCACAAGCTTGCACTCTGGGACAGAAACCAGTCCTTGAGCTTTGGTTTTGTTATTTACTGAGGGGATTACAACTTGGATAGGGAAGGGGAGGTACAGGATGACCAACAGAACCGATATCTGAGGACAACTTCCTGAACTATACACAAACTTCTCTTCTCTAAAGCAGTATTTGTTGGAGTGCTAGCCAGCATCTCCTAGTTCTACCACCCTGACCCAAGATGAACTATTCTTTACCCAGCAATCTGTAGACTTTCTTCCTGAGCAGGGGATCTGTCTCTTGTCCCCTTAATTGAGGTTAACAGTCACTAGTAGACATGTTTGTTATCTATATACTCAGTGAAACCTTGTGTTTCATATTCCACCAAAAATTCGGATAATTTATTGCGTTTGTTTGCCCTAAAATTCACTTAATGTGTTTTTTTACTGAAATTTTGCGTTTCTTAGATAATTTCGATAAGTTTGTGTGACATAAAAATTGGGAATCACCACTATTTTATTCTCTTAGGTGTCTGCTTTCAGAAAATACACTGCTCCTAGCATCACAAGAGCACATACGTATTGTGGTTGGATATATTCCTTGGCATCTGTTTGTGCTTATTATGCTGGTGTCGGTCGGACACCGTTTTTTGTAAGTGTGTTTTTGTCATTATTAAAACAGTGTTTTTAAGAAGTAATGCACCATGAGCTTTTTTTTTTATTCTGAGTGGCCATTCCAATACCTCTGAAATAAGATGGGATGTGAATAAAGTGGATCTTCAGAGTCTCCTGCAGAGTATTGCTCCAGGAAATAGTTTTATTCCAAGCCAAAGCTGTGCTTCAATTGTCTGCAGATCGTTGCTCCCAGAGCAAAAAAGCGCTTATGCTGGTTTATAATTTAATCTGCATATTGCTCTGGTGAGTTTATTCAGTTCATTTGGTGGTGGATTCACTTGGTGATTTTTATTTCAAAAAGGAACTTTCATTTTCATTTTTTAATATCACATATTTTTTGGGACTTTTATAAGTGATTTAGATTTTGGGACTTATTATTATTACAACAAACAAGAGATCCCTGTGCTCAAATCCCAACAGCTAGTGCATGCATTTATCCATCAGGTGCTAAAGGGGTGTAACCACATATTAACACTAGAAATTCTGAAGGACCCTCTGCACACTGGTATATACCCTAGTGTTAATATGTGGTTACACCCCTTTAGCACCTGATGGATAAATGCATGCACTAGCTGTTGGGATTTGAGCACAGGTATATCTTGTTTGTTGTATTGCTGGGTCAGTAGCCAGACCTGAACCTTGTAGCTCTCCCCATTGTGTCTTTTCCCCTATGCTAGCATTGTATCCACAGTAGCATTTGTGTAGGCAGAGCAGAGTAGGACTGGCCATAGAGAGATTACTTTGACGCAGTTGGCCAGCTTAAGCATGTATTGCAATATGTCTGAACTAAATATCCCTATTTATTGCATAGTCTGCTTGAAAGGGTATATACCAGTGTGCAGAGGGTCCTTCAGAATTTCTACCCTTATGTTCCTAACACATTACCCAGTCCATATCAGTATAGATATCCAGCAGGATATTTTTCCCCATTGAGATCTGATGTGTTTTCAAAGTGTTCCTTTAATTGCCTCCCGCCCGCCATATAGTAATAAGACGGACACAAGGTGGTTCTCTCGTTCTGGGAGGACGTCATATGACGTCCTCCCATTCTAACCGTGCATGCATGGCTCCCAGAGCGTGGTGATCGGTGGTGCGCTGTGTCCCCCGGACACAGCGGATCACTGATCCAAGGAAAGAGCCGAAGATGTCGGCTCGGTCATGTGATCAGCTGTGTCCAATCACAGCTGATCACATGTAAACAGGGAAATGCCAGTTATCGGCATTTCTCTCCCCACGAGCTGTCACGCTGACAGCTCGAGAGGAGAGCCGGTAATCGGCATTCCTCGGAGGGGACATGTACACAGATCATCAGAGCACTGATGATCAGTGTGCCCTGATGATCTGTGTAACCCCAGTGCCACCTGTCAGTGTCCATCAGTGCCAGCTCTCAGTGCTCATCCATGTGCCAGTGCCCATCAGTGCCACATTTCAGTGCCCATCAGTGCCACATCAATGCCACATATCAGTGCCCATCTGAGCTGCCTTTCAGTGTCACCCATCAGTGCCAGTCAATGCCACCTATCAATGCCAGTCAGTGTCACCTATCAGTGCTGCCAGTCAGTGCCGCCTATCAGTGCCAGTCAGTGCCGCCTATCAGTGGGCATCAGTGCTGCTTATCAGTGCCAGTCAGTGCTGCCTGTCAGTGTCACCTAACAGTGCCAGTCAGCGCCGCCTATCAGTGCCATATATGAGTGCTGCCTTTCAGTGCCCATCAGTGATACCTGTCAATGCCCATCAGTGCCACATACCAGTGCCTCCTCATCAGTGCCCATCAGTGCCAACTATCAGTGTCCATCAGTGCAGCCTATCATTGCCCATCACTGCAGCCTCATTAGCGCACATCAGTGAAGGAGAAAAATCACTTATTTACAAAATGTTATAACAAAAACTAAGAAAAAAACATTTTTTTTTTAAAAAATTTTCAGTTTTTGGTAAAAAACCCAGAGGTGATTAAATACCACCAAAATAAAGCTCTATCTGTCACAATTTCATATGGGTACAGTGTTGCATGACCCCGCAATTGTCATTCAAAGTGCAACAGCGCTGAAAGCTGGAAATTTCCTGGGCAGGAAGGGGGTATAAGTGCCCTGTAGGCTAGTGGTTATTTTTTTTGAGCAGTGTACATAATGTTTGGGGGTTTTGTGTAATCTTAAGGCCTAAAATTATTTTTTAAAGGATAAATTCACCTTTGGGTACGTTACATGTTCCGCCCGTGTTTAACATGTTCCCAATGCTGCAGCCGCTACACATTCCCCGGCCCAACCCCGACCCAACAGGGATAAGACCCCGGTACTAACTGTCACTTTTTAGAAACAGTGCGGCCTTGAAGGGCTCCGCCCACACGGCTGAGTCATTCATTTACAGTGCAAGCAGATATACTGTCAGCAGGAGACCTGCATGTTACCAGAGATCTGCTGATCACTGGTACAATGCTTTACAGGCTCCTGCAACCAAAAATAATAAATTCATATTTTTTTTACCTGCAAGAAAATGTGTATTTTATTATTTTTTGGTCAAAGGTGAACTTAACTTTTAAACATGTGTGCAAAAAAAATGCAAAAACGGCTTGGGCAGTGACATGGCTAAAAGGGTTACTTGGCCTCATTTCTATAAAAGAATGGGCTCATAGCAGCCTTATTGTCAGTGTGAGTTTGAACTGTTAGGGAGAGTTGACAATTATGTAAAGGGGAAAATACTGGGGTTTATTTACTAAAGCTGGAGAGTGCAAAATTAGGTGCACTTCTGCATAAAAACCAATCAGCTTCCAGGTTTTATTGACAAAACATAATTGTACATACTGAGGTTAGAAGCTGATTGGCTACTATGCATAGCTGCACCAGATTCTGAGTGAACCAGTTTTAGTAAATCTACCCCACTGTTTTTATTTATTTATTTTATTTGGCTTTTTTAGCTTGTCTATTAGCCCTACAAATACCCATAATTAAATGACACCTTTGCCTCCCCCCATATATTTCACTGGTGCAAAGTTTCTAAACTTCATACTTCAAGCAAGAATAGCTAAGTTGTTCACAAATCGATCACAAGGGTAAGAATTTAAAGACATTTTTTTGGTTTGTGTGTAATATATCTCCTAGATTGTAAGCGACAAGGAGCAGGGCCCTCCTATCCCTCTTGTATTGAACTGTATAGTTACTGTATTGTCTCCCGTTATATTGTAAAGCGCTGAGCAAACCGTTGGAGCTATATAAATCCTGTATAATAATATATGCCACACATACCAATATGCTCTGATGAAAAAGAGTTACAAACATTGTCTTATGTTACGCCGGCCCATAGAAGACAATGGGTTTTGACAGTTTCAGCCCTAAACCAATAACAATTGGTGCCACAATCATTCTTGGTTAGAATTCATGACACACTAAATGCATTTTCTAATGTAATCAAAACACATGGACAGGGGAAGACTCTTTTTAATGGGGAGTGAAATCTTCAACAATCTTCATTGTAACACAGAATGTTGTCCATCATAGTGATGGGTCAATAGGACTGTGTGGAAACAAGGCCCTCCAGCTAGCTTCAACGTTACCTGGAAGTGTCACAGCTTTACCTGTTAGAATAGAGGAAGGTTTGGCAAGCTACGTGGCTGCACTAAATAACTACAGCAGTATTCCCCAAAGTTGCAGTATTAACATCCAATTATATTCACATCATGTATGTTATATAGCATAAAACATAGCTGGAGTGCTTAAAATCTAGTGCAGCTGTGCATGGTAGCCAATCAGCTTCTAACGTCAGCATGTTCAATTAAGCTTTGTTAATAAAACCTGGTTTCTATGCAGAGCTGCACCAGACTTTGCACTCTCCAGTTTTAGTATGGCTGGATTCACACTTTAGCATAGCGTCTTTAAGCTGGTTTCTGCATGATATTTCTGTGAATTTTTGTGGTTTTGTGTGTTTATGCATGTTTCCATCAAGCCTTTTTCAGGCATTTTAGAGCTCTGGGGAATTTTATTAGCCAATAGAGAAAAATATCATCTGTTGCGTCATTTGTTGCTAGGTTTTTCAGCTTTTTTAGCTTTTCTATCAGCTTTCATTTATTTTTCTATTGTTATTCATTTATTATCTTTTTCCTTAGGGTAAGGGGTTAGAGTTAAGGTTAGGATTAGGGTTAGAGGTTATATATTTTATGTATTAAAATAAAAAAAAATATATAATCCCCCTGCGCTCCACTGGTATGAACAAACACAACCCCAAATATATGCAAGCTGCTACCACCTATTCCCAATACCACAGGATGTATGACAAAAAAAGCGCTTCACATATAAAACTAAATAAGTAGGTGCAATGATATAAAAATACATATAAAGTGACCACACTGTATTGAAAGGTACTGATAACTAATGCTAAATAATCCCCTCAATAAAATATATAAGTGCCAAGTGCTGAACAGGTCATGCGTTTGCTGACTAGACCGTGCCAAAATGCAATATATGCACAGTATACATAATACACAATAACATTGCACACTCTAACTGAAAGTAAAAAGTGCTCAGTAGGAGTATGAATATTGGTTAAAGTAAAATCCACAATAAAGTGCAAAACAGGTCATGCGTTTGCTGACTAAATCGTGCCAAAATACAATATATGCACAGTGAATTAATACACAATAACATAGCACACTCTAACTGAAAGTGACAGGTGCTCAGTAGGAGTATGAATAATGGTAAAAAGTAAAATCCACAATAAAGTGCAATAACAAAGTGCTTGACATTTCATGTGCAAACAAACACCACGATGTCAGTGCTTCAATTCTTCACTCCAAACATGATGCGTGTTAGCATGCCACACGTGTATATCGTAATCCAAAAATGGCTAAAGTGCCTCCTCACCTTAACCATGCGACCCCCTAAGGTCCACAATGCTTTAGGTAATATAGCTCCACCAGACTGGGGATCTCTGTAATAATACTCCTGTAGTACCACTCGATCTCCTCTGCCAGGTCACTTATGCCCTCAGATGGTAATACCCCCGGGATAATCACAATGCCATAGAGAGGTAGACAAAGAGAGCCTCCATAGTGAAATGCCGTTTATTCCATATAGCAGATAAAAACAAGCCAAAAGAGAACACTCACAGTATAGCAGATCTCATACAGCTGGTCTCCCATGTGCTGTGGGTGTACTGCAAGGTGCTGGGTGTTCAATGATGGCGTCTGCCACATGTGTTTAACCAGAAGTACATCACTGCGCTCTAAGCTCTACGCGTTACTCCACGATATCACGTGGCTTCACCATTATTATTACATAATATGAATTTATTTATTTATTATTTATTTATGAATATTTTTATTTATTTGTGTATTTATTTTACATTTATTTATTCATATATTATGACTTTTTTTAAAAAAAATTTCATTTGAGGCAAAAACGCATGAAAAAACACGCAAATATGTGCAAAAACCACGCAAATCTTGAGTTTCTGTTCATTTCTATGGAAATGAAAATACTCATACATGCATAAACTTACCTGATTTGAGCGACAAAAAAAGTTCTACAACTTGTTTGAGCTTCAGGCATTTGGCTGCAGGTGACTTGGAGTGGAGATGTGAACCATCTCCATTGAAAATAATTGAGTGTTCCTCTTTTTGGAGATTCGATCTTCAAGCTGCAAATTGCTCAAGTGTGAATGGGGCCTAAATCTCCCTCATAATGCCTCAATGATTTCTTACCTAATGCATTAGATTCAAAATTCCACTTCTTTGTACATTTATCATGAACAGAAACTGAAAAAGAAATAAATGCAATTAAAGTTGTCTTCTATACTGCTAAAAAAATGTCATTATGACTTAAATGATAATAAACACAGTGTATAAATTACTGCAGGAGACGGTCTGTACTGTAGAAAAGGACAAACTGCTATAGTTTGCCTCTTCTAAGATGGGGCTCACATGTAAGTGGTCTTTCGCTTGTCTATGAAAAAAAATGGGTGGATGCAATTACAACATAAAAACTGCATAAAAAGTCTTAAAGGAGAGAAGAAAGATATTACAAATCAGGCATACCCTTGGGTTTATTGTTGTTCAAAAATTTGGCTACATGCAGAACTGGAAGGGATGACAGATCCAGGGGAATCCCTTGGAAGGTGCGTGGGGTGTGCGTTGCACCAGGTAACACCTTTTGCATGGGATGGCACCAGACCCGCTCCACCAGGGACAGACTGAGCGAGGGCCCGGGGTCACTACAGGGCCCCATGAGAGGCTCAGTCCGTCCCTGTATGTGTCGCTGCTGAAAAAAGCAAGCATTGAGGGTCGGACAATGAGGCAGGCACTTTGGATACCTCTCCTCCTCGGAGTTTAAGCAGAGGGGCAGGTTCACATCCCTGCCATGGGTCCTGAAGTCAGAGAGCTGGAGGGGCGGGCAGAGTATGCATCAGGTCAGTTTGTAATCCCCGGACCTTGGTGAAAGCACTGCAGCTTCATGTAGTAGGTAGGGGGGGGAGAGAGAGAGAGGGGAGGGGGGGGAAGAGGGCAGAGAGAGAGAGAGGATGGGAGAAAGAGGGCAGAGAGAGGATGGGAGAAAGAGGGCAGAGAGAGGGGGGGAAGAGGGCAGAGAGAGGGGGGGGAAGAGGGCAGAGAGAGGGAGGAGAAAGAGGGCAGAGA